TATTAAAAACCAGGTGTGCGCCTGTTTTAGGGTTAGATTAAGGGTACATTTGAAACAGGGCAGAAGCAAGGACACGAAGAATTACTGCAAAGAGAGGCTGTGTACGCGGCACAGCGACCCCACACGGAGCAAGTACAGCTGCGTCGGCCTACGCTTGGAAGTGAAGGCCCTGTAGGTGGCATTGCGAGCATACTGGGAGAAAGTACAGCCGCGCCAGCACACGTCGGGAGGTGATAGTCTTGTAGGCGGCGTTGTGAGCATACTGGAAACAAGTACAGCTATATCGGCCTAATCTGAGAGGTGACGCTATTGTAAGAATTTTATTGAGAACCTTACAAGCGTGATGAATGATCCAATACTTTTTGAAATAGCCCTAGGTATGTTGTCGCTGCTACAGGTCAAGATCATCCTTTCAAGCTATCACATAAGGCATTCAGTGTAAGTGTTTGTTGCGAGCGCTGTCGCTTAAGGATAAAAACGGCTGCCTCCTCGCTAACATTGCGCAGCTGTCCTATTAGTTTTACATGATCAACGATGCGTTTGTGCCTAAAGAAGAATCACTTATCGGCAGAGTTATTCCTCCACGTTAGCTTTTTCCATGGACGTACCCTTCATACGGTCTTGTCGTCCAAAATCTTCAAATCCCGTTTGACTCGATGATTTTCGTTCTTCGTAGGATCGTGAACCCACTTCTTGCCGTTTACCACTTCTACAATAAGTGTGTGACCTTTTACTTTCCTGTGGTACGTGCAATCAAACGCGGAATAAATTCCATCTTTAACATGGCTGGCGCTCTCACGACAAACGTTTGTGGTCAACATATCCTTATTATTAACCATATCTTGTTGCGACTGCAGTGACCACCGTCTTAGCAGACTGAAATTCGTGGGAGATCTAGGCTACGGACTCGTTCTAGACGTTCTTGACCGCGAATCTGTATATTGACCTTGTTGCATTGATTGGGCGCTGCTTTGCTGGTTTTGCTTCGAGACTGCAATTGACGGCTGATTGCTTATCTGTGATCTTGGTTGACCAGGAGAACTCGTATGCGTGCCGTCCTGCCACAATGCGAGGTTGGTGATCGCTCACATTTGCAGAAGGCTTTGATTTGCTGCTAGTTGGTAAGCAATCGCCAGGGTTGGGGGAGACTCAACAACGTCCAACCTGGTGTCCAGTTGATCTACACTCTTTTTTGTTTATGCCACTAGTTTCCGTAGCTTCCAATTTAGAAGAGAATGTATCGCCCCCATCGATGTCATCTTGTAGCTTGGGTCAACTTTGTTCTTTCTAACGCTTTTGTCGGAAAATGCTAAACCCTCATTGCCGTTTCCTGGGTCTAAAAGCCCGAAGGTCTCTGCTGGCACCCGTGCTTATCAAGCCCGTATCGTCGTCGATTCTTCCGGTACAGCGACGGACAGAATGAAACAGCCAGCACTGAATTGTTGAACCGGTATTTAAGCAGGATAAGAAAAGAAACGAGCCAGGCCAGATCGTGGCACTCGCATTGGACCAAATAGTTATATATTATCTAATTTTTAGCGCAATGGAGGCAGTTATATTTTGCAGCTAAAATTTAGTGTCGAGTGCTTTGTTCAAAGCTTTGGTCGTGGTGGTCGTTTTAATAGACTCCCACGCTCAGATGGTTCGTTTAATGGTGGACACTCTATTCTCGCGCAGTTGTGGCCCTGTCCGTTTTCTTCCAGCCACAAAGCTCGTAGCTTTGACTTCAGCGGCCCCATGATTCCTATGTCTAACGGCTGGCATACCGAGTTG